CTTGGGAAAATTCTAAACAATCGAGACCGGAAGAGCGCGAGTCGGATAGGACTAGTCTCGATCGAAGAAGATTTGCAAAGAATCTAATGTAATTGTTTGGACAGGATTGCAATGGGAACAGAAGAGGTGGGATTGATTGGCCTGGACTGAATGCATGTTCTGTACCTCGGGTTTTGCTTTGGGCAAATCAAGTGCAAGGCGGATCCCCTTATCGTTTTCGTACCGAATTAGTCACTGGATTCGTCGTCAATTTCATCCATGGTTCCTCGTTCGAATCGCCGTATCAGTTACTGATTGGGAGTACCTGAAGTTACTTTAAGCTTGGGAATCACTATTATATCTACAAGCAACAACTCTTTGGTTTTTGCAATTGTTTCTCCCCCACACTGGCTATATCCTTGACTGGGTCCAAGACATATTTTTGGAGTTCCCTTTAATTTCCACTGAGTGTTTCATCGGATCATCCGGATTATTTTTCTGACAGACTTGCCCTGTTAACCAACGGATTACAACTGCAACCCTAACGAGGCAACTCCACCGTACAGTCGGTGGTTGGTTCTTGAGGGACCCTCTGACATAACCCCTCTCTCTCTCTCTGTCTCTCTGTCTTGCGCTCCACCGCATCTCCGAATTTCACCCCCGGTTGTCGGTGATCCATCTTTCCATCCATCCATTTCCATTGATCCTTCTGCTTATCGATAGATCCCACTTTTTTTTCTCCCCCAAATCTTGTTCCCCGGTTCTTGCAATTCATTTTGTTGGAACCCCCACCGTCACGGTGCATCAGACCGTCATTGATCGGCCAGTATTCTGTTGTACCTCCCTGTCCTGTTTACCTTTTCTTTTCTCCCTTTTTTTTACTTTTCTTTTTTTTCTCTCCCTGGTTGTCATAGGCGCTCGGGATCGGTGAACGCAGAAGATCCGGGACTAGATGATCTCCTGCGCCCCATAACCTCCGCCATATCCGTAAGCCTCGTCATCGTGGGGAAGTCCATTTCCTTCCAAGCTTGGCTTTTTCTATCGATGGGGCCCATTCAGGACCCTTCTTTTTTCCCTTTCTCTTTTTCCTCTCTTCCCCTCCTCTACCTCCTCTTCGCGCTATCGACTACTGTCCTCGCGGTAGACTCGTCCGGCTGGTCTGTGGTGCCGTCCAATAACTCCAGGGATCTTTCGTGGGTGGGAAAAGCCAGGTTTCACTTGGAGAGCGCCCAGATTCAGCTGCCATCGGGTGTCAGCGTTACTCCCTTGACCACTGCCTTGGTCAATCTCGATCACAGCGAAATTACGGTTCGTACGGCGCGGCGTGGATGAACCATGAATGAAGATGCTGACGATGGTCCCGCGTAGAATTTCAATGTTACGGGCAACCTGGTGAATGTAGACGCGACCAACTCCATTGCATTGAACACGAGTGATATCGCCCTGATCAGCTGCGACCAATCCGCCTATCCCGGCAATTTAGATGCGAGTGAGACCGTTCGCAACGTCATTACATCGCCGCAACGTGCATCGGCGGTTCTTTTGTACAGCTCCGAGGTGCATCACTGTAATTATACTGCAGGTCCCAACGCCAACGGATATATCAACGTCTTTACGCTAGTCAATCCGACTCTTGCGAAGGTTGTCACCAATCTCTCCCATTCTTCGACTGGAAACGGTTCGACGAGCATCAAGCCCGACATGTCATTTACAATGTCTGGGACGCCGCCCACCTCCGGGGATTCCGGTGGGGCCACGGACAGCCCTAATACTGGTATGAGCCCGTTATGTCAGCGCATACATCCGGTCCCTCGCGGCTGACATTAAATCACAGCTATGATTATTCTGTATAGTATCACAGGTATCATCACGGCGCTCTTCCTCGCCATCATCATTACCGGCGCGGTCCGGGCCCATCGCCATCCGGAACGCTACGGCCCTCGATATACAGCGGGGCGCCCACGACAAAGTCGAACGAAGGGGATCGCAAGGGCGATGCTGGATACAATTCCGATCGTGAAGTTCGGTAATCAACAGGATCCCAAGCTGGATGCCGTCAAGGGTGATGTGGAGATGGGCTCCGAAGATGAGACGGGTCGCCAGCCAGATTCCACTCAGGAAACAACTACGGTGCACGAAACGAACCCCCAGGCAACTGCTGCTTTGCCGGCGACAAATACGACCACGACCGAGTCCCCTTCAGAAGAACAACCCAAGCCGACAGAATCCACGGATCATCCGAACTTTTCATGCCCCATCTGTACCGACGACTTTGTCAAGGGACAGGACATGCGTGTCCTGCCCTGCAACCACCAATTCCACCCGGAGTGTATTGATCCGTGGCTGGTGAATGTCTCAGGCACATGTCCTCTATGGTAAGCTTTCACCACTAGCCAAGCATGAAGAATCCTAATCGCTAATAAAACGTCCAGCCGTATCGACCTCAACCCCGCCCAGCCGGAAGGCGAGACTGAGAACCAGGAAGGCGAACACAACACGGAGACACAACAAGAAGGCACATCGGAACCAGCAGCAGAGGAATCCCACCACCGCCACCGCCGCCTCACCAGCTACCTGCACGGCACGCTGAACGCGCGCCGCATGCGCGAAGCCACCGTCGAGGAGCGCCTGGCCGCGCTGCGTAGCGTGCGCGAAGAGAACCGCAACAGCGTCGAGAACGAAGAAGAACGACAGCGACGCGGCCGACTCACGTCACGCCTCCGTGACCGATTCCGCATTCGCACTCGACGCCACGGCGATGACGGCGACCACCAGCCGTCCGCATCAACATCTAGTACATAAACCGACGATCTACACTGTTTATATTACGATTGTTGTACAGTCGACTTTTGCGTTATATTTGTTTTGCATGGGGGTCATTTCTTTTTCTTATCTACCATTCTCACTCTCCTTCATGTCCATATTTATGTCTATGATTTACGAAGCACGGAACCACCAACGAAAGGCACGGCGATACAGGCGTTCAGAAACAGGACTTTGACAAAAAGAAAGAAAGAACCGGATCCAGGATTTTGATCTGATTGGAGGCAATTGTACATCTTCCACTGTATATCTCTTCTATTTCACATAGGTATATATACAAAATGCAGATCCAGAGTACAATACCGAATATCCAATATGCAATACACAACCCAAAATGCAAGTACCTAGTAGTATACAATAGAGAGAGGACAAAAACCACTTCGGCCATCCCCCGAACTGACCCAAAAGAAAAAAAGAAAAGAAAAGAAAAGAAAAGGCAACCCAACAAACAAAGAAAGAAACACGAAGTAAAAGTGGAGCAGCCAAGCCCAACTCCCCAGTTCACGCTCGCATAAATTTCCCCATTTGGATTTTCTCCCCGTGGGGTTTCGTTTGGAAATGCGGGTGTGCCTTGTGTACATAATTTTATTCTTGCCTTGGCTTTGCCGGATGAATGTGGAAGGTTGTGCCTCCGGAGTAGTTCGGTGATTCTTTCTTATAGACGTATACGTATCATGCATGCAGCTCGGTAGGTTTCGGACACGGTATATGTATGTTAGTTCTCTGTGGGGATACAGTTCGGCTCTTGGGAGGGTCTACATAACTGCCGTGTATGTTGTCTACTCAACAATGTATGGATAAATGTACTCCTGCCCTGACCCAACGGTACGAGTGCGGGGGTGAGTTAGGGCTAAGACTTGGCGAGTCCTAAAGTACGTCGGGTTGCCAGCGCGGGCGGATTCTTATCCTATCTCTCCTAACTATGTATCTAAGGTTGGGGGTTAGTCATATCGGATTCTTTAGAGTGTATAGACTGCGAAGATAACGAGTCAGTGTGAGACCCACAATATTCTATATTTCAGTGGCAAACTCGAGAAGCGGGTCAAGGTTCATAGCATGGATGAACGCCCCCTGCCTTGCGTCTGAGAAGGTAGGCCGGGGCTTTCGAAAGTTACCGTCGTGCTAGTTCGTGGCCATAGATTTCCTTTTGGGTGTATTCCTGGAACTAAACTATGTTCGTTGACTTGTTGGGGAGAGTTCTGTTAGTGTAGGTTTGCATTTGTGAAAGGTTTCTTGGTATTCTTGGAGTGTGAGGGGGGTAAATGACTGGATGCGTGAATGCGTGAGAGGGCTCGTGTCGGCGGGGGAGGTTTCAATACGAGCTCTGCGAATGCTTACCTACCTCGTGGAATAGGGTAAAGATGAAAGTACCAGCTATTTTGTTAAATTCTAAAATCAATCTATAAGTCTTGTATGTATCCTTATTAGCAGGAATGTGATTTAGCACTGGCATATAAATCAATACTACTATTTAAGATATATAGCTAATTTAATCTGCAAAACATTTCCCTTGGACACTCTTTACGTTTATGAATAATAATACTAATATATTGATAGAATATAAATATATAATTGCAAGTCAGTATTGATCTTGCAAGGTTGCGATTGGAACCTTGATAGTCTCATCACCTAGTTGTTTTGATTATAATGAGTTCCGAGTATTTCTGCCATAACTGTGGGAACCTAATCTTAAGGTATAAAGCTGTATATACGACTCTATCTCTAGCCTAGAAGTTTTATACAGGGCTAGACTCTGGTATATTAAATCATTGGCAATGCGCTTGAAATCTATCTTGATTCGTAACTCAGATCAGAAACCGCAGCTGTACAGAATTTAAAACCTGAAGTTGTGGTAAAAGATGGAGAACTTATGTATTATTATTCCTGGTCCAACTCGTCCCGTGCATCAACTACAACAATTGTGTATATTGTCTGGCCATCTGTGAGTACATATATATATATTGGGGGCGGAGAAAAGCTTCAAGTTTTCGAATTGTTCTCCAAGAAACATTCTGTAGAATTCTAGAATTACAAGTGATAGTATACCTTAACCTATCTTGTACCTTGCATTACAAGGTCCTTACATTAATCTCAATTAATACATCTGATCGTTATTCATTAAAAAACAGTTACCCAAAGATAAACTAACCACAGGTATGGAACACCCCCGAGTCAACTTCCCAGCCGTTTACCTCTCCCTATACACCCACTCTAGGGTGCAACCTAACATAAAGACACGGCTTATTCCACAGAATATAGATCTCCTGCTGATTCCAATTCACGCTCCGCTCATCCAGTTCCAGATCGAAATTGTACAGCACCCGAGCCAGAATAAGCCGCATCTCGCGTTGGCCAAACTAAGACTGATCAGCAAAGGATTACAAGAACACAAGGAAAACGGAAGACGTACTTGCGTCCAATGCAGTTCCGGGGCCCGAAGCTAAACGGCTGCAGTACGGTTTTGCTATCGTTGGCGAATCGAGGATCGCCGAGGAAGCGTTCTGGGATGAATGACTCCGGCTCTGTGAAGTTTGATGATGAGTGGAAGGCGGCGAGGTGTGGGATGGAGACGATGGTCTGTAGAAAGGGGAGTTGTTAGTACTTGATTTGTAGGAATCATCTAATATTAGTATTGAACATACCCCCCCAGGGACCCATTTCCCAGCAATCGTGTCACCATCTCCGTCAACAATTCTGGGTAGTCCAGTAGGAGCGGGCGGGAAGATGCGGAGGCCCTCCGTCAACACGGCATTGAGGTATTCGAGCTGGTTACAAGCCACAACAGTGATATCCTTTTCACTGTGGAACGAGCTCCTGATTTCCTGCTGGAGCTTGCTCAGAACCCGCTCATTTTTCAGCAGATAGTACGTAACAGCCGAGAGCAGGGTTGCCGTCGTTTCAGAGCCGGCAACAATCAATGTGCTGCCGTTTGTGACCATCTCGTTGAAACTCATGGCCCGCTCAGTGTCCTTCTGTTTCAGGATATGTCCGAAGAAATCCATCCGGTCGTTTGGCTTGGCAAGCCGGGCCTTGACCTTCTCTCTCGTGAGCTCAACATGCCACTTTCTCCCATTCGCTATGTGCGTGGGCGTGATGAGAGGCAGAAGAAAGTTGGATCCGGGAAAGCGTCTTGCAACGTTTCCATACGTGCCGGAGCGGATGTGTTTAAAGATCATCGAGACCCAAGTGTGATACGCCGAGTTCTGCAAGCAGTCAAACGATTCCCCGAAAGCCAGGTCCCCGATGATGTCGAAGGTGGTGAAGTTGTACCATGCAACCATGTCGAGCGGTTTGTTGCCGGCGTCGCAGTGCTCGTGCAGACGCTGGATCAAGAGGTCGACGTAGCCGTTGACGAGCGGCTCTTGGGCACGCAAAGAGTTCTCGGAGAATGCATGGGACAGTGTACGCCGGAAGCGAGTGTGGTCTTCATCGTTGGAGAGAACGATACTGGAAACTCCGGCTGCTGTGGGTGGATAGTAGCGGACATCCTTCGGCTTCTGCCTATGTCCGGGTCGGGTGCCGTATATTGCCGTCCAGGCCTCGCCGTCGATGAAGGATAGTTCGTTGGGAGCGATGCGGACTACTTCCCCGTATCGTTCGTGTAGGTCTTTGATAACTTTGCCGGTTCGGCCACCGAGTAAAGCCTGGAAGTAAGGAATTCGCGTAGCCGCGTGGGACTTCAGGCCAGGGAACTTTGCCAAAGGATGAAAGTATATGTTATAAATAATAACCGCGAGGAAATACAGGATGCTCTGCCCAGCCTTAGCAATCTGACTGTGGTTTTCCGTCCACACTATAGAGCACTCACCAGTAGTACACCCAGTCCAAACCAGACCCCAACAGCTGCCAGAGGCGAGCTGAAGGGTCCTGAAAGTGGCAAAGAAGAGAACATGACTATTATGAATAAACGAATACTTGGTATAGCAGATGAGGATAAGCTTCATAAACAGCGTTACGTCGTATTTATATACTCTCCGATTGCTACATACCATCCTAAATTCTAATGTCGGACAGGTCGCATAGCCACGTAATGTGGTTTGGAGTTGCATAACGAGGGTTGGGCGGTAGAATTGCCGACTTCCGCCAATGTATATCTTTCTATGCAGCCAAAATGACCTGTTAGTTTTACATTGGTGTGAATTATGCAAAATGATGTGCGTACTCGGCGGAGAAAAGGGTGGGGAAGGGCAATGCCAAGGAAGACTTGCTGAATATCTTCGCCATTCTGCGTTAGAGGTAAATTAAAGATATCGGGAGAAACCTTCTTTCATTGTATCTCTTCGTGCAAAGCGAAACACAATCGCCTCTAACCTACTATGTGGGAGAGTTGTGAACTGGGCAGATCCGAGCTCACCGAGTGAAATCGTTAGTAGATGAGGTCTAGAATCCCTGGGAACTATTTCCGGCACATTAATTGGTCGACGATACGAAGTACATCGGTGCCGTCATGCTTATTTCACCGTAGATCTACTGGAGTTACAATCTGTGGTTAAAAAAAAATAAATGATTTGAAGGAGTAAGTGTAACTATCACTATGCCATAGGCCTAGCTCAAGCAAGACCACTGTTTCACAAGAGAGAGAGAGAGAGAGAGAGAGAGGACCGGGAAAGGCTATCAGCCCCGCTGTCTTTCACAGGCTATAGTGACTCAAATGACGTGGATGGGAGTATAATCTACAGTGAGCTGTGAGGAATTTACCAACCTATGGCTTGGTTACTCATATGACGTTTCCCTGTAGAGTCATATGATATCATGGTTATACTGCTGTAGTTTGGTTGACCTTATTCAATTTACTCATGGAACCCTTGTCACACATGCCCCGAGTACAGAGGTTTCTTGATATGAAGCAAGGAGTGCATGGGCTACCTCATGTGGCGAAAATCAGGTCTGAGAGACGGTGTGGATATTCCATTACCAACTGGTTCGAATCTACTCTAATATCTATAGCTGCTGTGGATGTAAACGGGTATGTGTTTATCCACAAGTCTACCTGGCTGACAGCAAATGTGCGGCTATTTGTCTATATCGCGTCAAGCAATTTAACCGGTGAGTGGCACTATGTCTCCTGCTTTATGAAGTTTACCAGAGTAAATGAACGACAACCAGAGGCCTCAGAAAGCGAATCACGGCAATGATGTAGGCCTGCTAGAAATCCCAATGAAAT